CGTCGTCTATACGCCTGTAGATTCCTTCGTTCGGGGCGTCCTGCACGAGTGCATAAACGTGGCACGGCGCGGCGACACCGGCTTTGCGGCCGGTGCACGTAAACCGCCATCCGGGAGCGCGTTTATTCGCAGACCTTCTTGCACGCCACATTGACGACGATGAAACGAAACGCAGGGGCGGTCTGCAGGCGGTCTTTCCAGCGCGAAAGCTCCGCCTGCGAAGCCGGCCTACGGTGCATGCACGAGAAACGTCAACTTCTTCGTGGCACCTACCTGCCTGCCTGCCTGCCTACTCGTCGTCTACCTACCTCTTCGTCTTCCCATCCGTCCGTATGTCTGTCCGCTCGTTCGAATGCGACCGACGGAGAAGGTACGCGGCGCGCCCTTCGGTCGTATGCTAATGCACACACGGAGTTTCGTGACGCGATACAGTTTTTGTCGTTAACCCCGGCTGACCTCTCCCTGGCAGTGCTGTCGAGTGAAAGTGCGGCCGGGCCTTTTCGTGGGCCGCGGAACTCGCCCATGTCGTTACCCCGATCGATCCCGCCGCCGTCGTCGTCGACGAAACGGAAATCTTTATGAACGATGTCGTCCGCACTCCTGAAGGAATACGACTCTCTATGCCGCCCGGCCGCGGATTCGATTATCGGTTTTACGAGTGGCTCGTCCGATACTCTCGCCGAGTTCCTCCCGTTACGTCAGAGGGGATTTGTCGCGGACGTCCCGATGCTCTTCCTCAACCCGCGCGCGGGGTTGTTGGCTGCGAGCTGATTTCGGCGAGAGGGGATTCTGCGAGCAAACGATCTCGCGGATGTCGCGAGACGAACGTACAGGGTGTCTGACGATAAGTATCCCATGTCTCGTGTACACGGAAGATGGAAGGATTTGGTTGGATTAACCGGATTTCTCGGTCAAAGATACGAACGAACCAGAGAATTGAAGTCACCAGAATTCTCGTCAAGTTGAAGAACTTCTGATTAACTTGAACAGAATACTGGTGATTTTAACTGGAACTTTCCGACTCGTTAATATTTCATCAGAAATTTGGTTAATCCAACCAAACGTTTCTTTCCGTGTTGACTGGGTTAAACTAAGAATCCTTTGTCATTTTGTAAACAACCATGTGAGATTTTGAATTATTTTATCGTCAGACACCCTGTATACGAATTTCTTATCGGTCGAATGTGGCGTCTCCCTTTTTCGCTCTCGCGTTCAGTCGCCGTTTCATCAGCGTCGAATGGATAAGACGATTGATAAGACATGTGGGCGGAAATACACGAATGCATAACTGCATCGTATATATTTTCGTGTATATTTTCAGCTAATTGCATCAGGACGGAATGAGATCTAAAGTTAGCGTTTCGAAAGGAAAATCTTATTATCAACTAAAAATGTCATGTTCTTACTTATAAATCCGTATTAAGAATCGTTACTTGGAACATGTCTCATGAGACACTCAGATATGAGTTTGAACTCAGATGTGAGTTGAATTGAAATTCTTGATAATGCCACGTGTATCATGTGCTTCAATTGCAACATTCAGATCCAACTTTAAATTCAGACCTGAGTACCTCGCATGGGACAAATCTCAAGTAACGACTATTAATACGAGCCATAGTCGTCGCTCGAGACTCTCAAATGAAGTGTTCCAACTTGAGATTTTCAGTTGAATGATAATCGTGAATAAAACGTCATGTTTATCAGACCAAGTCTCTCGAAATCCGTCCTGTTGAATCGTCGCGTCTCAAGATAAATAGATCTTGACTGACTCTTCCGCTTGACAACGCGTCTGTAAATATCAGGCCGACTGTAAAATCTATCACGAAGCTTATTTTTATTATAATGCAACGAGTGTTAGTTCCCGTGTCGTCGTAGCATCCACGTGGCTGTCACCTCTCTCTCTAGTCGGCTCCGATTAGTTGGATAAAAGAGCGATTCTCCGCGCGCTCGCACACGTGCACACACGCATTTCGGTAATAGGCTTACGGTTTTGTGGCTACATACTGTTTGATCCGCGAACGATAACGAGTGATAATTTATGCGTCAATGCCGCTTCACCGCCGACACTCTCCTAAAGACACGTCTTCCTCGACTAAATCGACTCTTCCACGGTCGTTCAACGACGACGTCCTCATCCTCCGTCGGTGAAACGGACTCTAGCGTGTGATACCGTACACGAGAAAAAATACTTATTCAAATAAGAGAAGGCAAGCCATTCAGTGGCCCCGGGGCCCGCGCTCCTCCCCGTGCACTCGTGCATGGAACTGGCGCGAGCATAAATTTCAACAGATAGTACGCGCGCGCCACTAAAAACGTGAAAGACTCTCCGGATTTTTCTACGAACGCCTGCACGGGGTTATTTAGGTCTTTCATTCTCTCGCAGACACAACTGAAGGACTTTGTCGTCCATCGTCTAAATTATTTCTCCGGCATTTCCATGGGCAGGGCGGGGGGAGACTAAGAGAGAAAGAGACAATAAAAGAGTGCTCATTTACATAACCATGAATTTTTTCTCGGCAGGAGGAGATACGTCGTTCGTGGATGCGTCTTTTCTTGCCCGATGGCTAATGTTCCCCCCGACGTTGTCGTGCTCCGCGCTCGAACGTTCGCCTCCGCCGGTTTTCCTCGACGGCGTAATCTCCCGAGCCGATCCTGCGATTCAGCGCGTTGCGAACGCGCGAGCGACAAAACCTGGTGTGTTGCACCCCGTTTGTCTACGTTCTGTGACCCGCGTGCATGGGCCTCCTCAAAGAGACCGCTCGGGCGGCAAATTCGCGTGCGACAGAAACGTCGCGAAAGTACGCGTGGTTATAGCGGCGCGAACGATACGCGCGCGTGGCACCGTCGGTGCTAACCTCGTGCACTTAGTCACACTGATAAAGTATTCCAATTGCGACGCGAGGCGGTTAAGCGTCTCGGCAGAAGTGAGGCGGGAATGATATCACGCCGACAAGCCGTAAATACATAATGAAGTGCGGAAACCCCCGCACGCTTAAATCCATGAACGCCTCCATCCGTCATCGCGAGTAAACGCGCCCGCGACTTCGAATTTATAATCCCGTATCCCTCATCTAGTGTACTCTCGCGTGATTCATCATTCTTATACACGCTCACCGCGACGGATGAACGGCCGTCGCTCGGAATATTAATCCAAAAGGAAATGGTAGCTAGGTAGCCGCCGAGGGAGATGCAATTAGTGTTGCGCGCGTCGCAATATTGATCGTTCAATTAGCAAATCTCTCCCTTTCTCTCTCTTTCTCTTTTTCTTTCTCTCTCTTTCTCTATCTTTCTCTCGTTAACTGCCAGTGCTTTTTCACTAAATTCTTCCTAATCCAGACTATTTTTTTATTGCTGTTATCGACGAAATAAAGATTATTACTTTGTTACCGGGATTGTTATCGCCTCGTAATTTTTGACTGTAAAAATTTTAGAATTCGAGTACTAATTTTGCGCGATTTTAAATATTAAAAAGCAATTTCACGTGATCTGGAAATGTCAGGAAATTGAGAACTTGAGAATTTTGGATTTTTCAGAAATTCAGAGATTTAAAAACGCGAAACTGACAAATGTCAGAGTTCGCAGCTTTTGACCTTATCTCTTCCATAGAGAAATTTCGTGCTCGCGCAGGAGTATGATAAATTTACAAAGGGAAGGAAAGAAAAATTAACAGTGTTGTTACGTGAAGATGCAAAATGCATGCGTCCGTTATAACCATTCGCTAAAATCGCTCAAATTTCACGTCCTGCAACGCCCACACCGGAAATACCCGTAAAACCTAGACAAGGGGAGTTATTATTACTCTCCAAAAACTCGTTTCGCTTCTCTAGCTCAAGCGTAGATGGCGTTAAGAGTCTCCTCCACTTTTAAGGGTAGCTAGTCCGAGGCAAGGCAGAAGTGGATGAGTGAATATATTCACTTCTTTAAATCTTAAATAATATTATAAAATTAGCACAGAGTATTAAAATAAAACAGATAAATTGCGGCAGAAATGATCGATGGGCCGATACTCAGAATTGCGAATAAATATGCGTATAAAACTTTCAGTTTGCAGATCCGTCGCAACTTTTCATCGATATGACTTTTTATTGATTTTTCATTTGCTATTCGTAGAAGAGTAATTTCTGCCAATGGAACATCTGAATATTTGAACAATATAGCGGTCTTCATCTTACCAACGCAATCGCGCATACGGTGTAACATAATCGATATTGTCGCAATCTCTGTCGCACGCACCCCATGCGAAGCGTTTATCGCCGCTCTCGAAAAGAAAAGCAGAGATAACGCACGCGATATGCGATACGCAAAGGAAGAAAGCAAAGTTTAATATATCGAGTTATTCGTCCCGCATCTCTGCGAACGATGCAATCGAGAACGCACGTCGTCGAGCGCGCAAGAAACGCAGCGGCGCATACAAATAGGCAGACTCACCACTCACACTCGGTCGGAAAATCCGCGAATACCGGACGAATACCTGTCCCGAAGTTCTCGCGAAAAACCCGCTCACGTTCGGGGCGCGGCGCAACGCGAGAACGTAACAAATCCTCTCTTCGTCATGCTCGTATTTCGGCAAAGAAGGGCCGAAAGAGCGGCCGGCGATCGACGATTCAAAGCGCAGAGTAACGGCAACAAATCACGAGCGGCGAGAACGAGTGTTTATTTTGCAAAAGTTCGCCGACGGGCGCCGTGGGACACCCCGTCGCCTATTAGACCGACGGTCGAGGACGCCGCGCGCCCGAGGGCGAAAGATCTCTCTCGGCGCGAAGGAAACGCGGTAGAAGGAACACTCGTTCTCCCCGACAGGGCAGAGAGGGAGGGAGGGGGGAGAAAGAGAGACAGAGAGACCGCTTGATAAATGCGTGCCGGTGCGTCTAGGAACCAGTTTGGTGTTTACCTAGTAAGTAGCGTTGTCAGTCAGCTGGTTTGTTGCATCTTCGGGATAGAGGCAGGCGAGGCAGGCAGAGGCAGGCAGGCAGGTAGGCAGGGGCATCAGCAGGCAGCCGCCTGTGGCATGCAACGTTCACAGAGAAAGGCGCGTGTATGTGTGTGTACGTGCGCGCGCGTGTGTTGTGTGTGTGTGTCCGTGTCGGATAGTTCTTCGGCCGACGTGGAGGGAGCGCATCCTGCCGGTGGAGGGGCCAGCGTCACGGTGGTGGAGGTCGCGCGGCGTCGAGAGTGGGGGTGGCAGTCGCCGCACGCTGCCAGTTACGCAGGGTGCTCCGTGCATCGTCGATAGAAGCGCGGTTCAGTCGCGGAGTCAGTTGCATTCCGACCGCCGCGGTGGGATGTCGTCGTCGTCGTCGTCGTCGTCGTCGTCATCGTGTCCGGGCCGCAAACGACGTTACCACCCGTACTCGTGAGTCGTCGTTATTATCTTCTCTCTCTCGGCGGTACAACAAGTTCCGGATATACATCCGTCGCGAGAACGTGCGCGCATCCGTCCGTCCGTCCGTCTGTCTGTCTGTCCATCTGTCCCGCTTTTGTACGCTGGTTATCGTTCCTCCTTGTGCGGGATCGCCTCATTGGGCATGAACGATCGGCGCACGGACGATCCGCGGGAACGGACGACGACGGGGTCGAGGGTCGTGGTGATCGTCGCATCAGTGCCGGTGTTGTCGGTGTGAGAGAATCGCATCCGGCGGGAGAGAGTCATCGCGCGCGGTTTATCTCTCTCTCTCTCTCTCTCTCTCTCTCTCTCTGGCTCTTTCTGTACGTGGAATGGAACGGAGTGTACACAACAGTTGAACAACGGAATAGTGCCGTGGCTATGAGTGCGTGACGGTTCCTCGAGCGTTCTCGAGCAGCCGCGCTGCGAGTATCTTCCGGCCAGGAACGCGTCCCGCGGGAGAATGATAATGTCGTTCGGAATAATGGAAGCGTATCGTCGTCGTGTTGATGGTGGCGTGTTATCATCGTCATCGTCGTGGTCGCGTTGGTCGACCTTCGTCGCACTGTGCTCGTTATTGTTGTCGTTGGATCGTTGTGCCTCGGTAGACGGGCGCAGCATCACGAGCCTCGAGGCGCCCAACGGTTGCGAATGGCGAAAGGACGGCGAGGACGCTGAGCAAGCGTTGGTCTGCAAAGTGAGGACGATCGCGAGTGTGCCCGGTCTCATCGGTAATCTCTCGGCGATACAAGCGGACACGGTGACGTCGTTGGAACTGGAGTGCAGCGATGTGTTGTTCTTCGAGAGCCAGCTCTCCAACGGGCCGCACGGCTTCCTCGCGCCGTTGCCGCGGCTGGCCAAGTTGCGCGTCGATTACTGCAAGATCCCAAGCCTGCCCGGCGGCGCGTTCACCGCCGTGCACAATCTGCGGAGTCTGGCCCTGCAGACGCACAACGGCGACTGGTCGGCTATGACGCTCGAGCTGGACCGAGACGCGCTGCGCGGACTCACGGGTTTGCAGCACCTCGACCTCGCCGACAACAATCTCCTGACGCTGCCGTCGGAGCTGTTCTGCCCGGTGCAGGGTCTCACGAGTTTGAACTTGACGCGCAACAAGTTACAAGACACCGACTGGGCCGAGTTCTGCACGGCCAGCCTGGAGATGCTGGACATGAGTAACAACGACCTCAGTGCCTTGCACGACCGCTCGTTTCGCGGTTTGCGCGCGCTCAGCGTGCTGAAGATACAGGAGAACGCGATCGCTTCCGCCAGCGACCAATCGCTGGCCGGTCTCACTTCCCTGCAAGTGCTCAACATGTCCAGCAACCGATTAGTCGCACTGCCACCCGAGCTCTTCTCCAAGACGAAGGAGCTGCAGGAACTGATACTCAGCAACAATTCTCTCTCGGTACTGGCGCCCGGGCTGCTGGACAGCCTCGAGGAGCTTCAGGCGTTAGATCTCAGCAGTAACGAACTGACGAGCCATTGGGTGAACCGCGACACATTCTCGCGGCTGGTTCGCCTCCTCATACTCGACCTATCGTTCAACTCGCTCACCAAGATCGACGCGCACGTCTTCAAGGGTCTGTACGGTCTGCAGATACTCAAGCTCGAGCACAACGATATCGACACGCTCGCCGACGGCTGCTTTGCCTCGCTCGCGAATCTCCACTCCCTCACTCTGTCGAACAACAAGATCACCAAGTTCGACGCGTCGCACACACTCGGCCTCGGTGCGCTCGGACAGCTCTTCTTGGACAGCAACAAGCTGCACGTAATGCCGAAGCATGTGTTCGCCAATCTCACCGACCTGCAGGATCTCTCGCTCAGTGGGAACTTCCTGTCGGAGATTCCAGCCGCGGTACGCGTGCTGCGCTCGCTCAAGACCCTCGATCTGGGCAACAATCATGTGTCGAAGGTCGACAACGAGTCGTTCGCCGGCCTCAACGAGCTCTACGGTCTGCGCTTGGTGGACAATAAGCTGGAGAATGTGTCGCGCGAGGCGTTCGCGTCCTTGCCGGCCTTGCAAGTACTGAATCTGGCGAACAATCTTATCCGTCATGTGGAGCAGAGCGCGTTCGCGAGCAACCCGCTGCTACGGGCCATCCGGTTGGACGGGAACCAATTGACGGAAATCCGCGGCTCCTTCACTAGCCTCACGACCCTCGTCTGGCTGAACGTGTCGGACAACAAGCTGCTGTGGTTCGACTACAGCCATTTACCGGCCAGCATCGAGTGGCTCGACATACACGCCAATCAGATCAATCAGCTCGACGATTATTACTTCGTGCACGGTAATCTGCGGATCAAGATGCTGGACGCCAGCTACAACCGCATCACCGAGATCACGGACGCCAGTTTGCCGGACAGCGTGGAGACACTCTTCCTCAACAACAACAAGATACGCACCGTCGCGGCCGGCACGTTCCAACAGAAGACGAATCTGGAGAAGGTGGTGCTCTACGGCAACGAGATCCGAAATCTCGAGTTGGCCGCGCTCGGTCTGCCAACCGTGCCGAGCGATCGGGACATACCTGCCTTCTACATCGGCGACAACCCTATTCTCTGCGACTGCACTATGGAGTGGCTGACGAAGATCAACGAGATGACTCGCCAGCGACAATACCCGCGCGTCATGGATCTGGACGCCGTAATGTGCGACATGGTGCACGTCCGCGCCACGCCGCGACGCAAACTGCTGTCGTTGAAGCCGAAGGACTTTCTCTGCCAATACGACGCGCACTGCTTCGCCCTCTGTCACTGTTGCGACTTCGACGCGTGCGATTGCGAAATGACCTGCCCCGACAATTGCTCGTGTTATCACGACCACTCCTGGTCCAGCAACGTCGTCGACTGCTCCAACGCGGGATACAAGCGCGTGCCTGAACGGATACCCATGGACGCCACGGAGATCTATCTGGACGGCAATGAGCTTGGCGATCTGGGTAGTCACGTGTTCATCGGGAAGCGTCGCCTGGAAGTGCTCTACCTGAACAACAGCGGCATCGCCGCGATACACAATCGCACGTTCAACGGCGTCGGCGCGCTGCGCGTCCTCCATCTCGAAGACAACGCGCTGCGCGAGCTCCGCGGCTTCGAGTTCGATCAGCTGGAGCTCATGTCCGAGCTGTATCTCGATCACAACGCCATCGCCACCGTTGGCAACACGACCTTCAAGAAGATGCGGAACCTCGAGGTGCTACGACTGGACAGCAATCGTATCGTCGACTTCCGCCCGTGGGAGGCCCTGCCGAGCGTCGGCGACGGCACCAAGGTCGCTCTCGAGGGTAACGCCTGGAGCTGCGAGTGCGGCAACGCGGCCAGACTGCGTGCCTGGCTCGCCGAGCATCGCGGCGACCCGGACAAGATGTACTGCCGCGACGGCGTCGAGACGCTCGCCCAGGCGATGGAACGATGCGGCGACCCGTCCACGGAAGCGGTCAGTCGCGGGATTCAGGAGATCCCGCTGCTAGGAGGCAACTTTGTGCCGCTTCTCGCCGGCGCGCTGGTAGCCGTGATCGCCATTTGCTTGTTCGTCGCCCTGGCGTTCGCCTTCCGCCAAGACGTACGCCTCTGGGCCCACGCGCGTTACGGCCTGCGACTCGGCAAAATGGCCGCGCCGCCCGACGAGGAGAGGGACAGACTGTACGACGGCTACATCGTTTACAGTGAACGCGACGAGGACTTTGTCTCGAGGTTCCTCGCGGCGGAGCTGGAGCAAGCCGGTCTGGCTCTCTGTCTGCATTGGCGGGATCTACCGCCGGCCAGGCCGCAGGAGGCGCTGCCACCAGCCGCGGCGGCCGCCAGGCGCATCGTCATCATCTTCTCGCCGGTATTCTTGGCGAACGAGTGGCAGCACGCGGAGTTCCGCGCCGCTCTGAGGACCGCGCTGGAGAACATCAGGCCGGCCTCGCGGAAGCGCCGCGTCGTGGTGCTCCTGGCGACCGAGGCGCCCGCGCGCGACCCGGAGATGCAGCTGTTGCTGCAGACGTGCACGGTGGTGGTCTGGGGCGAGAAGAGGTTCTGGGAGAAGCTGCGGTTCGCCATGCCGGACTCGGTGGACAAACGACGCGACAGCAGCAACAATGCCGGCGGTGGCGGCGGCGGCGGCGGCGGCGGCGGCGGTGGCAGCAAGAAGGTCAACGACCGGAATCGCACACCGACGCGCTACACCGCGGCGCCCTCCGCCGTGGACGTGTGGACCAAGCCGAACGGGGTTTTGGTCGCACCGGTGCACGCACCCACGCCAACGCCCACGCAGTCCACCTACGTGAGCTCGGCGTCCAGCAGGACCGAGGACGAGGACAGCGGCGCGGAACATCAGCATCATCCGCATCCTCACCAGCATCCGCACCAGCACGGCTACAGCGCGCTGCACACGTCCGGCAACGGCCGTCCGGCCAGTCTGTCCTCCAGGGGCAGTCATCTCTACAGCACCATACCGGAGCCGCCAGTGCCGACGGCGCCGCAGTTGTCCGGCGAGACGCTCGCACATCCGGCCAACCCGCGTACTTACTTCGTCTAGCACAGAAGGGCGGCGATCGTGCTTCGATCCGCCAAGAGATAGACCACAAACTCCAACTGCCCAACTACCTAGCTCTCTTCCGGTCCCGAGCGACCGGCGTGATCGCCCGCGATCCATTGTCGTCGTCGTCGTCGTTGCGCGAAACGTTTTTCTCTCTCCCTCGGCAGAGGAGGGTAAATCGACATGTAAAGAGAAGGAAAAAGAGAATCGCTCGAGGACGATGTGGCCTACCTGTGTACAGTTCCCTCCGCGACGCATCGACCGACCAACTTACCCCGGCAGACTGAGGCGCTTTTAGCTCTTCCACGAGAGGTCGATCGTTCCCGCGACTGACTCTCACCCCGTTCGGGGTGTTGTTCGACGCGTTGTTTCCTTTGCGACTGTCGGGAACACCGGCGAAGGCGCGCGCGTATTCTTAATATCGCGTTTTACGCGTGAAGTCGATTCGACGCTTGTATAACGCACACGCACACACACGCACACACACACACACACACACACACACACACACACACACACAAACATAAACACGCAACGTTAGGTACTCCGACAGTCGGACTCTGTTTCTTCCTTCCTACCTTCCTTTCCTGCTCGAGTGTAATTTCAGGAATCGTGACTCCTCCTCGTTCCTCTTTTCTCTGCGTTCGATGTATTCCCTCTTGTCTCGTCGACTTGCCGTTATAGCGTCACGTTCTTCCGAACCACCAACGACCAAATACGTATGTAATAAACTCGTCGGTTTCGAGCACCGCGCGAAACCTTTCTTTCCTTTCTCTCGGCTCGTCTGAGTCGCGCGAGATATCGGGACTTCCCCCGATCGGCCGACACGACGTGATTCCGAATGTTCGCGTTCCGATTCCGTCGGAATACGCGCGATACAATTGCGATGTCGCGCGTGACGATTGAGAATCGATATCGATTCACTCGCGTAACAGACGTTCCTGCGCCTTTACGCGACCCTTCGCCGCCGCCGCCGCCGCCGCCGTCGTCGTCGTCGTCGATGATCCTCGACGACGCGAGCAAGTCGGAGACGATCGCGCGAATTTTCCTCGTCATCGACGGCGGCGGCGAGCGCGACGAGAAACTCGCTTTTCGAGGTATCGCCGTTCGACTCGCGCGCGACTCCTTTTAATTGCGAGTCGCTCGCCGCTTCGATTTGCATTAATTGGCACAACTGTCGGCGCGCTCATCAATATGATTATTTGCGGTTTGAATATACAATATAACGAACGGTGAATAACGATGATAATGGCTAAATGTGCACCGCCGGCAACCGATGCCCGATGCGCGCAACGCGATCCTTTTATGAATGCTAATTAGACGACTCGTCGCCCAATTTCCGTTTCGGAATATATCGCTCGCCGAACACAACGCGACGAAAATTGTGCAGCGACGCCGTTACGCGAAGAAAGTCTTCTTTATGCACGGAGGAAAGTATCTCAGTTCGCGCGCGGCTGAACGGGGACCAGACGAAAACTCGGCGACGCGAAGTGATATCTCTGTTGACGCGGCCGAGGACACTTGTCTGTATTACGTTCGGCTGTATTAAGACTCGGCTGTAACAACTGAGAACGACTGACTGAGCGGGAACCCTCGTTAAGGGGAATTTTTCTTGTTCCCACAACCGAGCTTTTCATCTGGTCCCTGTTCTCGCCAGGCAGCGGAAAATTCGGTTACACCGACGACATTGTTTCTTTCCGTGTGGCTAATTTATTTCTAGATACGCTCTTAGGCCGATGCGTTTATCTTGTATTTAATCTGTGCTGTATATTTAACGACTTAATTGCGAAAATGTATTCGTATATATACATATATATGTATACATATACATATGTAGACATGTATCTCTCCGGATGCCTCGTGCGACCGCACGAGAGAAGCAACGTGATATTTACACGCGCCTACGTGCGCGTATTAACATCGAGTCGCTTCCCCGCTCGTCCAGTTAATTTCGGAACGAGCCGCGGAACGTTAAGGCTCCTGGTCCCATTTCCGCGGAACTGTTGATCGACCACGTCAAGAGCGAGGAGGTGCACACCCGAAGTTCCCGCAAAGTACGTCAAATCAAAAGATGTGTCCCAAAGAGTGACACTCGCGATCGATCGGGCATATCTCCAAAGTACACTAAAGTACACTTTCCTTGTACATTGAACATCCTTACATGATGTACATGAACAATCAATAAATGAACGTAAAATTAACGTCACGAAATAATGAGGAAATGAAGATTATGAAGGGAAAGGTTGCATTGTCATGTAAATTTTACAATTATTTATTATAATTGTCAGAGTGAAAGGATTGTGCTCGCAGAGCATTTTAGGAACGTGCTCGATTGCGAGTGTCATTTTTGGGTTATGTCGTTTTACCTCGACGCATCTTGCGGAAATTTCAGCCGTGCATTTCCTCGCTTCCGACGTCGTCAATCAAGATGGCCGCGGCCAGAAGCCAGAAGAGGGAGTCTTAAGAAAGAAAAGTCTAAAGTGAAACGAAATAAATTATTTTCATAGCGGATCGAAAACGCGATCGTGATTATTTTGCGCCGGAACCAGCCGAGAAACGAGTATCGGTACCGAGTGTACTTACGATTTTTCCTTTTCGTGTGCTAAATCTCGCGATAAAGTTCCTCTTTCTCTCGCGCGCGCATCGACACACACTTTTGGGACCCGAAGCGCATCAACGACTTCTTCCTCCCCCCCCCGCCCACTCCTCCTCTCCTCTCTCCCCTTTCGTCATTCCTGTCGTTTGCTCGTCGATAATTCGACGGAACGAAGAATTTAACGAACAAGTGTCGTTCTACATAGTGTGCTGAAAAATGACATGAAAGAAAAGACAGACGTCTCGTGAGAGCTTGTTCCTAGAAAGAAGAAAAAAAAAAGAAAAAAAAAGAGATTCACGACTGTCTCGATGAAGTCACGGTCGCATAACGCTTATTAGTACGTAAGTGAAACTCTCCTGTAAATATTGTATCTAATTTTTGTAAATATTCGTGCGCACATTTCCCCGGACAAGAGAGGCCAGCAACCAGCCAGGTGGCCAACACACGCGCGGCGCAGCTATCACCACCGGCGCCGGTCGCGCGGCGGATACGTCTTAATTGTAATCGCGTTTAGGAACGTAACGACTCCAACTTTATTGTATTATTACTGTAAATACGCTCGTCGCGAATCACGCAAATGTATTCACAGTCTGTTAAATACGTATTAAATTAATTGCCACTTTCCATTTCAGCAAGGAATCATGAAAATAAACACGTTTGTTTTATAAAAAAAAAAAAAAAAGAAGAAAGAATTCAAATGAAGAGCGAGTGTTTCGTCAATCCCGCAATCTCTCGTACCCGTTCCAAATCTCTTTCATTGAAATCTACGTGTTATTAGACGTCGACATGTCGCTCGACATGTATCGATAGCGCGATGGCGAGCGCTCGCCGGATGTCACGATTAATTTTAACAGAGGGAGAGGGGGAGAGAGAAAGATTATCTTTCGTATTTTTAATACCACCAGAGCGAGAGATAGGGAGGGAGGGAGAGAGACGAGAAGATTCTCGAGTGTCAGTGGCGAGGACGTATAATAACGTATTTGGCATTTGTATGATTAAATGCTGCTCAATATCTCCGTTAATGGCTCCTCTCGCAGGATCGATGTCGCCGCACATCGACACAGTCGAATTTACGTGGTGTATACGGACGTGCACACACCAAGTAGACTCAATTGCAACACGTTGATCATATCAAGCGACACACGGCATACCCGCCGTGTATTCTCGGAGAGTTCTACATTTGCCCGAAGGATTTACATTTCTGAGCCGCTTTCATCGGCGCGATTAATATGACACCGGCCGGCGGACTTTGTTCCCCGCGTTATTTCCTGCGGAGAGAAAAACGAGGTGCCCTCGTGGCAATGTTCCTCGCGATGGAAACCTCGCTGAAACCACCAGCGTTTCCCGATTATTTCGCGGATTTTCAGTCGCGAGTCGGTAATTCCCGAACAGTACAATTCGAGAGAATCACGCGAGTAGAAGAAATGAAAGGTCAATGAAAGTACAATGTAATTTAAATAATTTCTCGCGTAATTCTAATTGCAGAGCACGGAAATGAAGCTGATATGTTGACTACGGCGGTGTGTACGAGGGGATAAAACGTGAGGGGTGGCCGTCGTGCAGTTCGGCTCGTACGTCCGACAGGGTGACAGAAATAAGAGGAAGTGATGGGCGAATAGTTCCCGCGACGCGCTTAAATGATTCATCGTCAACGAAATCGTCTCGGATTTCGTCGAGGACGAGCCTGTAAAGTGTGCACAGGTAAAATATTCACGCAACATTCTGCTATTTAGTCCGCGACAAGCTTACGTTTATGCACAAGACCGATGAAATCGACGAGACTTCAAGTATATCCTGTTCAAAATTGGAGAAGGTATTCTGGGGGCGGTAACGCTCATTGTCCACACACAACTATAGTCACATTGTTGTCAATAGAGTAACGTTTGTAAATCCATTGACAACAGTATGACCCCAATATTCTCAGGATATTCTTTTTCCTGTTTTGATCACATTCTTTTGAACACATTCAAAAGACTGGATTTTTATTGCTACATCTTCTCATATTTAAGCTTAAATTATATTTGTGGAGAGTTTCGCCGAGAATAGATATCGTCATTTGGTCACACTTCTTTGACGTTATTCGGTTTCTTCGTTTCTTTACAACAAAACTCCAAAAAATTTTTTTTTGGCGACCTTTCAAACCAGATCTTATTACCGGATATCGTCTCGAAAATCGTTTGTATTCTCGGCTTTCTCACTCCTGACTCAAGAAGTTCGAAACAGAAGAGAGAGAGAGAGAGAGAGAGAGAGAGAGAGAGAGAGAGAGAGAGAGAGAGAGAGA